ACAGCTGCTACAATCTGCTAGATTTGGTGAAGGCGGTGCTCTATCTCATCGACCACCCCGCCTTTGACTCGCCCAACAACGACTTCGGTACAGTCGATGATCCTGCACAACTGCCCACGATGACAACGCGTGTGCTGGCTGGTCTGCCAGTCAAGGGACGCCGCTTCCCGCCAAACACCGCGTGGGTCAAGTGGGCTCGTGAAAACGGTTGTCTGCCCACTGAAGAAGAGCAGTTGGAGGAGGCTGAGGACGCGGTGGGGAAAAGAGACGAATTGGACCAGAAAGGCCATGAGGCAATTGATGGTTCTGACAATACTACTGACTCAGAAAATAGGGTTGGTCCAGATCTTAACAATGCCATGGAAATTTGTAGGACAAAGTGTTTAGAATTTGTAAGAAAATATTATTTTACTGCTTTAGTTGCCCATCTTGGAGACAATTTATGCACCCTCAGACGCCACATCTGATACCGTGCCATCCTTTGCAAAAATTCGCTGCTTGTTTGATCCTGAACAGGAAAGCATTTTTCGGGGTTCCTATCTAGGATGCTGGACACCGTTTGAAGTTGAATCACAGCGGGTTCTTATTTGGCATCCCAGCAATGACCACAGCAGAGATAGTTACACTCTGTTCTACTTTTTTGAATTTCTGGGAACTGATCATCATCGCAATGAATTGGGGGAACATTACAACACTCTCTTTATTGGCAATGTCTTGCGTGAGTATCAGTCTCACCCAGAATCGCGACAAACATCCAGTAATTGTCCCTGGTACGCTGCATCCGAGTATTCTGGAAATTCTTACCAATCCCATAGTAGCTACGGTTCTTATCTGGACCTTGGCAATATGTTCAAAATTGACGAATCAGTTAAACGGACGTTGACTGCGGACTTTTGTCCTTGGTCAGCGCAGGATGGTAGAGGAATAAATGCTCTGTTCAGTAGTTTGTACTTTGAGAGCGTACGACATAGAGGGAGCATCACATGCTTTTTGGATGGAGACAGTGACGATAACAGTGGAAGTCAAGGTATTGGGCATCTCTTTGACTCCGGCTATTTGGATCACGAAGATGTTGTCGAGGTAACCACTGAATTATCTGACGTCATGCTGCCACAGTCAGATGCTCGAAGTGAAATCTCCGATCATGTGGGTCAAATGAATTTGGAATGCGAAGTCACACCCACAGAAGAACAAGACACTAATGCCATTGAGCCTGGTAAGAAGTGCAAAGAACCATCTTCATCTGTCTCATCTTCAAATTACAAGGACGTGTGTGTACCCTACCCCCTAATAACAGACTGTTTGGAATGTCGATCCGAATACAATTACTTAAGAAAATCTATTAATGGTGGTCTGGCTCCAGTGTGGAGGTGGTTTTTTCGCAGTACGCGATGGTCCATTCGGTTTGCTCCGCAGCAGATTGTAGACCTCTCAATGACAGGTATCCGAATTCCACCATGGCGAGCCAGTTTGGGTCGAATGATGTCGGATATTTGTCACTTTTGCGCCAAGAATCATGGCATGAAGAATCTCGTTCTCCTCGACCCCATGGTAAGCCCACTGATGACAGTAAATCTACCCTACTCTCTGTTCATTATCTTGGCATTTTAATGATCAGGACAGGATCTGTCGATTACATGGAATCAATTTAACACTGATTCATACTCGTTGGTTTAAATGGGCGTTACTTTGAGAGTTTGGGGCAAACCAAGTATCTTTTTGATCTCGCTACTGAGTGTAGTGCATTGTTCAGTTGACTGCAAACAAGACTGAGTGGCATGAACTTGTGAAGTGCAGTTCAACTAGGCTGTGATGTAGGCAGTTTGCTTCTTATGTATTTGTATAGGCACTCTCGCCACTTTCGCCTCTGCTCAATCTGATGCGGTACCGTGAGTTACCCAGTCCTCGGCTCACTGGTGTTCTCTGGATGACGCCGCTCAACGCTCTCTCGCCCTTTTACCGCGTGCCCAGTCCCGTCGAGGAAGAGCTGCAGGAGAGTGAGCTCGATGGATGCGAAGGAAGAGACGGTGCCTACCCCACACCATCTGTCTACGATTCCTTGCCGTCACAACCCTGGCAATCAACTGGGTGGCATGGTTGTCACGAGTGGAGAGCTACGCGGCCCTCGGTATGTCGCGATTTCATCCGGCACTCATCAGTGCCCCCGTGGCCGCGTGCTTGCTGCAGCCTTTCAGCCTAGGCTGCGGTCAGGCTCCTCTCGTGGACCTCTGGCCATTGTGGTTGCTTCGCCGCCTTCTCACCCTCTCTCTCAGACTGTCCTACCTGCCATTCGCCCACGGCCACGGCAGTCATAACCATCTGCGATATCTCTTCCCCTTCTCCGACCTCGACGAGATTTAAAGCTGCACCTCCTTCTGCCTTATCGCACCTCACCTTTTTCTCTTGTCGGTAAATCAGTTTTTATCTGTGTTGATTTCACAGTGTTTGGCTGTATGTTTCTTCATGGGGTGATAACGCGCTCTATTTTGCATTTTTGACAGTAATTTTGTTATGCTACTCGAAAGTTGTATAAGTATGGGCCTTGATTTGCTTTGCTGCTTCAGAGTGGGTTTGGGAGTATCTAAGGAAGTGGTTAACATCATTTTAGCTGCAACTAGAAGAGTTTAGTAATGCCAGGTTGTGCCTAATGCTTTTTTGTCAAAGTGGCTTCCTTTACATTTGCTCACCCCTTAGGATATTGCGGCATTTGTTGTGGTAACAAGTATTTTCAATTCACCAACTGGTACCCGTTGTAAGTTATATCGTATGATTTCATCAAATTTGTCTCGTTTTGTTTAATACATTCGGCATTAATGAGTTTTCTCAATAAAAGTAGTCTGTAAAGGAAGGTTTTTACCTAAGGTATGAAGCAAACCATCTATGATGTGACTTGTCATAACATTTATGGTATCCCTGTTAATTGCTCTACCCCTCATAAGAAACGCACCAACATGTGGCCTGACTGGTGGAAAATTGGGACATTTCAACATACATTTCCCAATTGTTCTAACATTGATCGGAGGGCTGAGTGGGGTGATAATCAAAGAGGTCAATCAGTCGCTTGACCTGCGTTAGAAGCTGTTTTTATGCTCTGTGATAGTGGGGGTGTCACACTAGACAATGCCACGTCGGCTTCGCCACAGTGATGTCCACATCACGATAACTCACCCATCAAAGTACGTTATCGTTCAGTAAAGGTTATTCCGGTAAGTTGACCTTATGAGATGCCGTTGGTTTACAGTTTGAGCGCACAACTCAGGTCACTGCTGGGACTTGTGATGAAAATAAACAGCACAGCTGCCACAGTAGAGATATTCACTGGTTCCTCTTTGAATTCTTCTTAATAGGAGCAAATTCTATTTTCCAACGCCTGACGTAAGCACATTGCCTTCTTGTGGTAAACAGTCGACAGCAGTAATCATTAGTTTTATGAATGAAGATATTGGCTATCAAGTCTATACAAGGCGTTTTCAATTTTCTTTGAGCAAAACCAGCAGTGCTTTCTGGCATAACCAATAATGCTTTCAAGCTCTGACTCTGCTGAAGACTGTCAGAAACTGGATTGTATGATGCAATTTCAAAAAGAAGCAGTGTCGAAATGAAGGTATTATTTTGCTAATTTTATCAACACTTTCGCAAAAATGAGGCAGATTTCATCGGCACTTACACAAAAGTGAATAACTCAACATCAATTTTGCAATTTTTCCCTAAGTGTTTGACGGTCTCCAGAATAAGGCCACAACATTACACTGAAGTCTGAACGAGTCATATGGACTAGAAATTTGAAAACAGACCAAAAACCCTCCCTCTGAAAGCTTTCGTGCAATGATGAATTTTCGATGCCTACTAGCAGGTTTGTGACGCTAAGTTGCATTTTCGCAGTTAGTTATGAACACACAATTATTTTCCCTGTCCTCCAATTGCACTCATGACTAAAAAGCAATCGACGATCAAGTTGTATATTTCTAATAAAGTTAAATGAAAGGAAATATTTCCAAATGGAACCTGTCCTCCCACTTAGCATTTACTAGCGAACACTTAGATGGTTAAATGAATAAAACAAGCAATTTTGTCCAGGAAAGGGATGCGATGGTTAGTCAATCCCGAATAAACTACTCAAATAAAACGATGAGCTTGAAAAATCTTTCCATTTCTTTCGTGTCAACTTTGTCCCTCTTCAAAGTCCGAGAATTTCTCTCACAAATGTCGTCTCTACACGATAAAAGCATGTTCAGGATGCAAGTGCTTCTGCAGAAATTTGTTTTACTTGAAGGGCAAAAGTGTAGAAGAAAAATCATCTATCCAGATAAATATCAAGTTCAATTTTCGCTCACTGAAGCATTAAGGCATTGTAATGTATTTTATGCAAAGAAATTTATGCCATTAAATGACATGTAGGATGAGTATGAGGGTTCGAGTGTCAGTGATGGGAGTGCACCGAGACTGAAACCATAATTACGCATAGATTCATAAAACAAGCTAATATGTCATATAGCTTGCACTGCATTCACCACTAATTTTCTGTTAACGAAATTAGAATACCTTTGTTTGGAAGTATTATTAAAATTGTTTGTTTTTTTATTGGAAGGAGATCTAACGTTTAAGCTGCAGTTTACAGCTCTACTGATCGTGGTGACCTCATCGCCTTGGAGTTTGTCGCCCCCACTTCCATTTCGGGTGTCGTTGCTGACCCCGCAAATGTAATGCCCACAAGGCAAATTAAAGACGTCAAATAACTTTGATTAAAAATACCCACTTGAAAAACCAGCAAAACCACAATAAATGCGACTTGAAAGGCCCAAATTTTAATAAATATGAGGGCACAGGTTAGATTTATCGCGTATTTCATCACATACTCATATTATGCTACTTTATCTCTGCAAATTTTAGACCATACTGATGGAGTGTGGAACCAGCAACGCCCGAAAGTGCAAGTCACTCACCGTAGTCTATTTGAGCTAGTTCCAGTTAGATTTACTGGAAGATTTACAAACAAAACTGCCCTGCAGTACCGAAGCCTAATTAAGCTACCATCTTTAGTTTTAGTGAATTTCAGAGTTCCCATCATACAGTCAATACTATTCATTATATAAAGACATTACTTTCATACAATTTTGATGTAGCGTAATTTTATAATCTGCCGTCAACTTGACACTGGGTTCAGGTTCCAGATAGTAAATATTCACTACTAAATGCTAAAGGCACTTAAAAATAAGCATATAGCCAAATTTTCTAGCGACTTATATTGGGATTAAAACTTCTGCTATGCACTTATGTCATGCCTACTCTACATTCGTGCGTACAATTATATGTACGTGTTTTCTTTGGGCCGAAAAAAAGGAAGACATTTCGTTTAACATAAAGTTTAGATGTTTGCCGGTGTAAGAGCAAAGCAGGTTGTTAAAGAAATTAAAATAATTCGCAAATATGATCCTCGCATGCCAAATTTTTGCGTCCATGCCTTCACAGTATCTTATGATAAAATGCGCATTAGTACATGATTGTAGTGGCAGTCAATTAAACACATTCCGGCACGATGTGAAAGTGGCTTGAAGCGTCAAACTATGATGGAGAATCATTCCACCCAAACTGGGAGGACTAATGCTCAGAAGGTCTGCGAAACATCGTGTGCAGTCAGGAGCGATGGACCGCCATAAACTGCCATCAATTGCTAAGCAAGCTTAGGTGACTCGTATTTCCACTACTTACATTGAAATACCACAGGTTTTCCATGCAGTTCATCCCATCAGAAGTGATGATGTGGCTGGCATAAATTGTAACACCTTAACATTTTAATTGTGCATAACCTGCCTTAAAACTGGCAGTCATTTATTAACTGAGATCGACATGTCGACATTTTGCTGCTCAGATTTCACTCACTGTTACCTTGCCTTGTTATGGTCTGCCATGCGTTGCCTTCTTAACCAATTTCTACTAGGCATGGAATTTTCCACAACAGCTCCATCCGAATGGGCCACCAATGTGGAAAACGCAAATGTGATGGAAGGCTTTCCTGGCTGGTTGATCCAGTGCTATCGCACTCTGCCTGGAGAAGGCCATCTATTAGTACACGCAGAGGTGAAATAGCAGCTAGAAAAGTGTTTTATGATGTGGCAAATCAAAAAGTCACTGCATGCTGATTGGCTGGCTGTGACCTTGAAATCGCATTGTCTCATGCATCAACGTACTGCATACCACATCGGTCCTCACATATGTGGTTAGTTTTATTTCCAGTTCTATTGTGTCAAATGGCAGGAACACTTTAAATTCTTATTTTGATTTATTTTGCTTTCCAATGCCGGAATGCCAACGGGCGCCTACTTCAAACCTTACCGTAGATAATGGCATAGATAATCTTAATCCTTGTATTTACTAAAAATGACTCCGTATGTTTCCCTTGCTCTTCTGTGTACATGTGCATTGAAAATGCATTAGTCCCACATACAAGGAGAAACTGCGCATTCTCCTTCTCGTGCCATAAAACTTTAATCTTAGGTTTTCAAAATGGGGCCTGATGCAGAATTTGACAGCTTATTTTGGGCGCCTTTATAATTTGCTTGATCTATGGTACATAATGTCATCATGCATGCCCATTTAGCTTCCAAATACTCGATATTTGTTTAATCAGCAGAATAAAATGCACCTCTGAAACTATATCTGTACCAAGGCTGCGTTTATGATGGATCCATTGTGCAAAATTCATTGGGTCCACATGGCATTGAAGCATCGCCAACATGGTACAATTAAATGTTCACCAAATATTGCGCAGATTACTCTGTTGCGGTTTGTGCAACACATGGGTAATTTGATTTTTATTTATTGCAGATATTTGAGGAATTGTGTCAAGTAACTAGTAATTGTATACTTTTAAATTTGAAGTAGCATGACCATGTTTCCAAAATCCATAAGAGCTTTGTGCTGCTGAACCAGTGAATATGTTGTCACTTCTGCCAACCAGAATCGCCTGTTGCTCGGAGTTATGGTAGCAACGTCTATTAACCATTGGACGGTTCCTCGACAGAGTTATTTTGGTGGATTCTACTGGTTCCATGTCAATGCAATCTATATCACGCAAATGGCTGCTCATTCGATTCACCTACATTCAATTCATTCAACAAATTATTTTGTCTTAACGTTTCAATATAGTTTATTTCTGAACTGTTCAGTGTTGAAAATTCTCGGCTTGGGTGTGGTTCAGCTACCAATCTTCCATTGCATAATTAGATGTGATCGACATGTTTTAGCTTCCATTATTCTGGTGTCGCGTTGCGTTGACAGTATCGTTGAGGATACTGACATGGTAACAGTGGTTTACAAGTGTAGAGTAGGGCCTAAAGAAAACCTGGTCCAATGCAAATGTCTCTTTTCATTGACCTGGCAAGCCTTTCCACATCCAGATTACTTTTCAGCTACCTGACGCACATTTATGAAGGACGTGCAGTAGCTGTAAAGGACAAGTGACGCCTCCAATGACAGCCAGGCATCCATCACCAGAATTGATGGGACGATGGTAAAGTTTTCTCTGCGACCTTGATCCGGCTTCTGCACGCATGCAGACTTCTTGTTGACTGTAAGCTTCTTTGCAGTCTTGGTAATTTTTGTATTCATCTGGAATTTCATCAGAGCATTACACATTTATCTAATAGTTGTTATTTGACTGTCCAAAAAACGCTGTGGTAATGGCAAATGTACCGTTTCTGTCCATGCAATGCAGTAGGTAGAGGTGCTTATACGAAATTCGGCATTTTAATTATCTGCATGAATTAACCACTTTTGCTGTAGGGATCCCCATAGCTGTTACGAAGCTTTGATATGTAGCAGAATAAAATTTCAAACTTCTAAGTATAAAATTGTTGGTTTTTTAAGGATAATAATTCCAAGCCCAACACGCGGCAATGAGGAAAATCCCTGGCCAACTACCACAAGATTCTATCACATGAAAGGGAAAACTGTGCATGGAGGTGTAACACATTCACGCATCCGCAGCCGTAGCAGAATGCTTGCAAACAAAATGTTGGGTTTGCATTAAAGTGGAAATGGATTGTACTAGAAGATGCTTTCGTGACGAGTTGTATGACAGAAACATATTTTCCGCCATGCAGATTACCCAAAAGTTGATCTATTAGTCGAAACATCAATTACTTCGACCCCTTTCTAGTCCAGTTTGTCTATGTTTCCCACTGCTTCTCCCGCCTCCTTTAAACCTTCCTCATCCTAGGACGGACAATCTTTGGTGGAAAACTACGTTTACTGACCAGAATATCAGTGAGCACACGCACCGTCCTTGTGGACGGCTGGGGAGGACCATGGACTACTCCAGAGGAAATACTAAAGCAGTCGAAGACGGCGTAGTCCATGAAGTGGTGCACCGCCTTCATCAGTACTGACGCATGGCCTCAGCTATAGAAAGGATGTGCCAAATAAGAAATGTTTTAAGACATGCAAGTGAGACTCCATTTTCAACCTGAAATGGTGATTTTGTAGTTTCATCTATTCTTTAGTATGCGAATTTACAAAATGAAATAATGAGTCATCTCCTTTCCACTCCTTGCATTTTTAGATCACCTTCACCACCTGCTAGATTTATTTCACTAAATGTGTTGATCTTTATGCCCAATTGTGGATTAACTCAAATGTTTGGTCCACAAGATTTCACTCATCTTTGCCATTCGTTGAAAATGCCGAAACACTAAACCATGTAACTGGCCAATATTGTGATAAAATATGGGTTCGTCAAAGGACATTTCAGGACTGACCTTAGGATTTGAGGGAACACAATTGATCTAGAATTAGGTATGCATTATTAGAGCAAGTTTTATGTAATGTTAATTGCGCAATTCACGAAATATTTCTAGTGGAATGAAAGAAATGCAATGGCTAATTGGATTTAAGCACCTCTGCCTACTTCATTGCAGGTACAACAAAATTACACAACCGTCGTCAACGCAGCTCTTTTGAGTATCCATCTAGCAGCTGTTACCTAAATGATGAAATGCTCAATTAAGTTTCCAAATGCATACAAGAATTGTTAAAATGTAGGAGAAGTTTGCCGTCAATGTGAAGCCTATATGCGCGTTGAAGCTGGATTTGGGTAGCAGAGAGACCTTCACCGTCATCTCATCGATTCCGATGATGGATGCCTGGCCGTCAGTGGAGTCGTCAATTGTCCTGTACAGCTGCTGCACCTTCTCCATGAATGTACGCTGAGTTGTTGGATAAGTCATCTGGAGGAGGCGAATAAAAGGAGACAATTGCATTGGACCATGACTGCTGCAGACCCTGCATTACACTTAGTATACCACTTTTGTTTTGCCAGTCTTCCCTCTGATGCTAGCTAGGCAAAATGACACCAAGATAACTGCAATTCTGCGACGCGCTTATAAGGCGCAACAATGCGAAGGAAGATTGACTGTTAAACGATTAGCTAAAAATCAAACTCTTTTCAGATGTCAAGAACAAAATACTCAGCAAATGAGCAGTGAGTGGTTCAAATACGAAATTCTTGCACCTAAATTAAAAAATTCTTTTGCTAGACTGATACAGTGCGTTTCCGAAGAAAAACTCACGCCTCAGAGAAGAGACCCACTTCTCCAGTGTACGCATTCATACATCATGCTTCGGCAACAGGTACCTGTTTTAACAGGTTAAGCGCCCGTTCTACGATTGATGTTTGGCATCACTCTGACTGTAAGCAACACGTGCTTCCGGTTGGTAGGGCTGACAACGCAGTCAAAAGCTCGGTAGCTCGCTAGCTCCTGTGGCTTTCCTTCCATGCTCTAATGTAACGAACAGCCATCCTACACAGTTCCTCAACTATCTGTAATCCACAAAATTTAAAATGCTGTGGTTTCACAGACTGCAATATGAAAATACGTAAAATTTCACAAATGTCGACGTAGACCGGCTTAGGGATGCTTGAATGCCATGCACTTTTACTGAATCCTGTAAGAGAGAATAAATAAATAACGCATCCGTGTCATAAAATTATCACCTGAAATACATCTTATTCTTCTGATTTCAAAAACTCAAAAGGATTAAGGGA